ATAACTTTCAATATACTGACCCGTTCCACTTCACATTGCCAATAAACCTTTGAAGTTATCACCCATCAACAGACAGCGTTCTCTAATCCGGCGAACACAAACCGATATTCCCGATTTCAGCATCACCCACCCACGGAGCCGGCGCAGCTGCGAGAACCCGTGGAAGCTGCGTTGGCAAAAGCTCTCCTCAGCCAGCCGGGGGGTTCGGATAATCTTGAGGGAAGTACGGAGAACAAGCTGTTATCTCCCGGGGAGCAACAGTGCCGTGATGACCCAGCTGCGTTTGCTCAGTATATTGTGATTCCTCGGGGCGCTCTTTGTGGGGGGTGGGGTGGGGGGGGGGTGGGGAGGGGTCCGGTTTCTCAGCTGTCTCACGGAGAAGCGAAGAGTAAATACAACAAGATGGATGATGTTTTTGCTTATTATATCGATTTGATTTTATGATCTCCCGTGAAATATGGTTCAGGAAAGAAAAAATATTGACGCTAATAATTATGATATGGTAGTATTAGTAGTAACACTAATGATAATGATAAGAATGTTGATAATAACGAGAAGATATAATAATGATAGCTGAAAGAATAACAATAATTCTAATAATAAGGGTAATGATAATTGATAATGAGGATAACAACGATGATTATTATCATAATATATTAATAATAATAATAAATAATAATAACAACAATAATAATAATAATAATAATAATAATATATAATAACAATAAATAATAATAACAATAATAATAATAATAATAATAATAATAATAATAAAATAATAATAATAATAATAATAATAATAATAATAATAATAATAATAATAATAATAATAATAATAATAATAATAATAATAATAATAATAATAATAATAATAATAATAATAATAATAATAATAATAATAATAATAATAAATAATAATAATAATAATAATAATAGTTATAATAATAACAATAACAACAACAAAGATAATAACATCAGCACGTATACCATTAACGAAAATCTGATAAAACATTTCCTTTTATCTAATAAAAGAATCCCTTTCATCTGATAAAAAAAAAAAACATCATTCACAAAACAGGCAAAATATATATCAGAGCATTTTCCTCATCTTTTCCCAGCGAGTGAGGTTTAGCGAGCGAGCGAAAAGCGCGAATGTAGATGCGCTAAAATCTGAGCGAATATGAGCGAAGATCGAGAGAGATGAGAGAGAGAGAGAAGAGAAAGAGAGAAGAGAGAGAGAGAGATGAGAGAGAGAGAGAGAGAGAGAGAGAGAGAGAGAGAGAGAGAGAGAGAGAGAGAGAGAGAGAGAGAGAGAGAGAGAGAGAGAGAGAGAGAGAGAGAGAGAGAGAGAGAGAGAGAGAGAGAGAGAGAGAGAGAGAGATGGTGTGATCGAAATTTCTGGGGCCTTCAAATGCAAGCTAAATGAACGGGGGTTTTTGGGTTGCTTGCCGATCGTGCGACTCGGAGCAAGCAGAGACAACCCAGAGTTTCTGATCGTCTTTATCTATCTATTTATCTATTTATCTATTGAGATCGTCTTTATCTATCTATTTATCTATTTATTTATTGAGATCGTCTTTATCTATTTATTTATTTATTTATTTAGTTATTGTTATCGGTTTTTATTCAGATATTTATCTATCTTTATTTAGTTATTGATTAATCGTTTTTATTTATTTATCTATTTCTTATTTAGTTATTGATTAATGGTTTTTTATTTCAGATATTTATCTATTTATTTATTTTTGATTAATCTTTATTAATATTTATTTATTTATAAATATTTATTTTTATTAATATTTATCTATTTATTTATTTAGTTATAATTTATTCATATTTATCTCTATTTATTATTTATTATATTTATTTATTATCTATCTAAAGATTTATTTATTTTCATATTTATTTATTTACTTATATATTTATTTATCTATCTAAACGATTTATTTATTTTCATTTATTTATTTACTTATCTAACGATCTATTTATTTATCTATCTATTTATTTATTTTTATATTTATTATACTATTTATTTACAACGATTTATCTATTTTCATATTTATTTATTTACTTATATATTTATTTATCTATCTAACGATTTATTTATTTTTATATTTATTTATTTACTTATATATTTATTTATCTATTTATTCATATATTTATTTATTCAGTTATTTACTTATATATCTGTTTATTTGTCTGTTTATTTCTATGAGGATCCATAACAGAGAGCTGTCAAACATTCAATGTTGAATGAATATAAACATGGAAGGAGATGATAGCATTAGAAATTATGCTTCTGTTATCACATATTCCGTTAATAAAAAAGTAAAGTAAAAGCAATATGAGCCGCTTAAAGTATTCTCTTCCGTCTATATTCTGCGTCGAAAGTGAAATATGAGATGAAGAAGAAAAAATAAAGAAATGGAAAAGGAAATGCTGACTCATGGGTCTTGAGGCTGAAGGAGTCACGTCTCGTGTGCATTTATCTTCCGTGAGAGTTCATTTATTATTTGTTTGTTTCTTCTTTATTCCATTTCTTTATCTCTCTTTGTGTTGGTGTATATAAGGGTAGGGAAATAAGTATCAGATTCCATTAGAGAAAGATAAAAAAAAACCTGCTACGT